CTTCAAAACCTGGCCCCTGGGTCAGAATAGGTGAAATGAAGCATCCCTTTGCTATGAAATGTGAGCTATTTTTTGTGTCTCAGAGAGTGGTTGGGTCAGTTAGGGCTACTCAGGGGATTCAGAACAAACCACCCTGACTGCTCCTGTAGACGAGCACATGCTTCAGATACAAAACTAAAATTAGGTATGTTCTCCATATGTCAGAGAAAGGCAGTAATACAATGTTCTTATTCATGACTCCTGGGTCCTTTCCTATAGTAAATGCAAAGCTTAACAGTCCAAAGTTTTCCAATTGCCAGCTAATCCATATTATACTTAAAATATTAGAGGATCGCACAGTCAGGAGGAGTTAGCACACAGAGCAGGCAGCAGGGAGTAGTGGAAAGAGCAAGGGCTTTGGAGGCAGCAGATCTGGGTTTCACTCTGAGTTCCGCTTCTTAGTAGTGTGGCTGTGGACAAGTCACCTAACTTGTCCTTGAACCTCAGTTTTCACATCTGTACAGTAGAGAGGATAATAACACACTTTACAGGGTTGCTGTGAAAGGTGAGGGAGATAATAAGTCAGGTACTCAGTTCAGTACCTGGAACAGAGCAGGTTCTCAAAAAGTAGTATTTTCTTTTATTTCCCACTTAAGTGAGTTGGTCAGGAGAACATTTTCTAAACCCTGAAATCAAATCTTTAAACTATATGGGAATGTTTCCAGACGCTTATGAAGGAGGAAGTTGCTTCTGTTTTCTTAAAGTCTCTGATGTGGGGGAAAAAAGGAAAACCAGTATCAGCCAGAGACCACTACATATTTGAGCTTTAAACCACAACACCACCACAAATAAGATGGGGTTAGTTTAATATGGGAGGAATAGTAAAGAAAAAAAAAAAGTAATTGAGAGTTTCCATTCCTGTCAGATCTCATCCTAGCAGAACCACTATCTCTACCAACTGTATGGAAGCTGTATTCATTCTTCCTCCTGTATCAATTCAGCACATAGGCTCAGAAAGCATTTGTATTGTGTCTAACTGCCTAACTAGAGATGAGGATTGAGCAATGAAATTGCTACCTGCCAACCAAGCAGCACCCCCACCACTGAGAAATTTTTAAGTTTTCTTTCCTATAGAAATGTTAAGTATAGAAATGTTAAGTCTCCTCCCTAGTTTTCTTAGTTCCTTAGCTCTTGGCTTTGATTACTTTTCTAACCATTTTTTGAATCCTGGACTAAAGACCCACACCCCTGCTTCTTAATTGCTTTGTAAATCAGTTTCAGAATCCTAAACAATAGATTGTACAGCTAACAGATTTATTAATTAAAATCTATTTTTCCTCATTCAAGAGCCTTAGGAATACAGATGACACCCCAGCAAGATTGCCAGTCGCAACCAAAGAAGCCAGCGGTCTTCCAGGCGGAGCTTGAGACCCCTTCCTTCCATCTGAGATCAGCTAGGGTGAGAGTTCCGTGAATCCCCCAATAGGCAGGGACAGCTCTACGCCCCTGCCCAGCAGGAAGCAGATACAGAAAAAAAGACCTCCTGTCCCTCAACTTCCCATAGAGATTTTATGGGGATCACGTCTCTCAAGGGGAAAACCAGGCAGGCAGTTAGAGGCAGGCATTGGGTCTCTGCATTCCTGCACGTCCCATAGAATGTGACCGCCCAGGTGACCTCCCCTCTGCACTCAAAACGTCCAATCAAGTGGTCCCATGCCCAGAGAGGAACAGCCCATTCCAGAGAAAAAGGGATAAAAACTCCAAGTCCTGGGAAGTCTGTCTCTTTTTGGACCGCTTCTTCCCTTTTGACCTCCTTCCTTCCTTCTCGAGCCTTTTATGCCTGGCCTTTTCACGCGGCCCGCTCCATATGCTCCAAACTCCTTGAAATAATTTCTCTTCTAATAATTGGCCCTTAAGCCATTCTCTACTGCTTGGGCCTACTTCTACTTCTTTAAAATGTACCATCTCTTCTAATAAACTACTTTTACTCCGGTATCTCATTCAATTCTTTGCTCGAGTTGCCAAGGACCTGGACTTTGAGCCAAGAAGGGCCCACTCTCCGACAACAAAATGACTAACAAAGGAATACTCCCCCACTTCTAGAAAGAGAAGCAAGAAAAATGAGTTTGAGCACACTCTTCTGTTTACCTCTTCCGCTCCTGGGGACCAGATGCAAGGGGCTATTTGTATACAGAAGATGATCTTATGAGTGAGTCAATCCATCCTTTTCTGCCCTGAGGCCAACTCCCCAGGGGCTCTGCCTTTTCCAGCTTCTAAACACAAACTGGGGGATGAATGGACACATCTGGTCACCATTTGAGTTCAGGCTTCTATTGTGTTCAGTCTCTGGGGGGAAGTGATTCTATAAATAGCTCACGCCCCTCAGCCTCACACTTGAAAAATGAGAAACCATCAACTCTGCCTTTTCTGCAGAGAGAAAAGAGGTTTTCGCTGAACCCAGCTCCCTCCCTAATGATCATACATCAAGTTAATATGCTAAGTAGCCAGCCTCAATCAAATTATCCATACACCTATTTTATTATAAGACTACATGGTATCTAGAATGAAACCCAGGAGTGAACTCCAAGTTAAGATTAGTGAATGACTCATATATCGATGCTTTGGGAAGTCTCTGATATTTTTGGAAACTCACCAAACTATGTGGTTAAATCTATGTGTGTGAATCACCACCTTCGAGTCTTAAGGAGAAATGTCTTTCCCACCTTTGGAAGAGAATGAGAGGTTTAAATCCTGTTCAAACCGGAATAGAACAATCATGTTCTGAATCAGATTTTTTTTATAATCTATCGCCCCCAACAAAAAAGGCCTACCTCACTCTTCAAGTTTTTTCAAACACTTGATTAAAATATTTATTACAGTATTTGCCACACCGTGAAGTAATTATCTCTTTATATATGTCTCCCTCAAGAGCTATAAGTTGTTAATGGTAAGTATGAACAAGGTAAAATAATCACACATTATATGAACCTAAATGAAGTTTCATAAAGAAAAGGAACATCAAATTTAATGTTGATGCAAGGGAGAGGTGAGAGAAAAGGGGGCCAACCAAGCAGAAGTAGACAGAACAAAGTATAAACAGATTGCTTTCTTCTTCATCCCCACACCTGCTCAGAATTCTAAAACAGCTACTTTTGCAGAGGGTGAGCTTATGTAAATGTATGTAAATCAAAGAATAATTAGAGCTAACATATGGCACTAACCACCCCAAACTTCAGACCTGGAAAAGAAAATGAGACCAAACTCCTCTCCTCAAAAATGCAGTTCGGAAAGAACAGCAAACAGCAACAAGGATGTTGGAGAACCAAGACCTACCAACGTGAAATTCTCCCAAATGTTTCATAATAAATTATCAGTTTTGGATTCTGTCTGGCTGTAGAATATAAGTAAAAGTCTTCTGCCCATGCTCTGGAAGCCACAGCATACTGTCACTGTGTCTGGCAAAGTCTCCGCCTGCCTTCGGATTAGGAGATGAATGCTAACTTAAATTTGCTCTGCTAGAGTCCATACAGCAAATCATAAACCAGTGTGGGTCATCTGCTGACACCAGACTTAATGCTATATGGTCTGTGGGATATAAATCAAACACAGTCTCCCTCTTTGCAGTGTCTAAAATATGATAGCTGAAATAAAGTTATAGACTAACAGACAGAAGGAAAATTACACCAAATGGAAATATGGATCTACAAAAAGAAATGAAAAGTACCAGAACTGGTAACTAAATCAGTAAATATAGATAAGATTTTCTTCTTATTATTTAAATTCTTTAAAAGATAATTTACTGTTTATAATATGGTAAAAACGATGTATACAGTGTCAGGTGGGTACTAGACTAGTCAGGGGGATCACTTCTTAAATTATATAAATGTCTAACCACTAGCTGTACACCTAAAATATAAAATACTGAATGTCAACTATAATTGAAAAAATTTAAAAGGTGAGGAAGAGGTTCAAATTTCCAGGTACAAAACAAATAAGTCTTTGGGATGTAATATACAGCATAAGAAATACAGTCAGTAATATGGTGATAGCATGGTACAGTGTAAGATGGTTGCTGGACTTATCATGGTGATCACTTCTTCAGATATATTAATGTTGAATAACTATGGTGTACACCTGAAACTAAGATAATATTGTATGTTAGCTATACGAGTATTTAATAAAAATCTTTAAAATAAATAAAAGATAATTTACTGTTTAAACAAAATTATTAATAATGTATTATGGAATTTACAACATATGCAGACATAAAAAGTATGACATAAAAAGTCTGAGAAAGGAGAAACAGAAGTATTCCAGTGTATCTCATTTTATGGGGGAAGTAGTCTATTATAACTTGAAGGTAGACTATGATATATTAGAATTGTATACTATAAACCCTAAAGCAACCACTAACAAAACAAAGATTTATAACTAATAAACCAACAAAGATAAAATGGAATCATAAAAAATACTCAACCCAAAAGAAGGCAGAAAAATACAAAAAGAGAACAAAGAGCAGATGGGACAAATAGAAACCAAATAGCAAATTGACTGTCATAACTATATCAGTAATTACACTAAATGTAAATAGTCTAAATAACCCGAATTGAAAGGCAGAGATGGTCTGATTAGGAAAACAAAGCAAGACCCAATTACATATATGCTGCCTACAAATAACTTACTGTAAATTTAAGACATAAAAAGCTTAAGAGCTCGCTCAAGAGTTTGACCTCTGAGGAACAGCGGTTCAATGCCCAGCCCAAGCTGAGCTGCTAACAGGTGGCAGGATGGCTCAGCTAAAAAAAAAAAAAAAAAAAAAAAAAAAAAAAAAAAGAAAACGTTTAATCCTGCATTTACAGTGCCAGTTGCAAAAAGACCCTGCCCTCAGCTAACTAGTTTTGTTAGAACATTTTGATAACTGCTCTGAGGCAGGAGATATATCCTATGAGAACACTTAGCCTTTCTGTTAAAGAGCTCTCATTTAGCTTTCATATCTCCTTATTCTCTTCTTACAGGGACCATTTAATCCTTGAGCATAACCAGTATATCCAGAAAGTACAGGATGCTGAAAAGAGGACAGCAATGCAAAAAGAGCTGCTAGAATCAACTATTGCAAGATTGAAAGGTGAATTGGAAGCATCAAGGCAAGAGAAGACGTCTGTGCTGGAAGAGAATGAAAGGCTTCAGAGAGAGGTAGGTAAAGACAGAATTATGTTAGCTCCCGGTTGGGGTGGTCATCTTATTTAAAATTGTATTCTAAATGCAACAGACAAGAAATACAACCCAGATGCAGTTTGTCTGATTTGCCCATTAAAGAAATCTTTAGGTGGCTAATCTATGCCTTTTAGCATGGAAAGTAGTCTATGCCAAATAGCATATACCCCTATACAGCATTAGTGGATGTTAACTAATAGTTCACACATCCTCTTTAAGGGGTCAGATTTTAAAAATGGATTTCCCTGAAGGAGGGGAACAATGTAGGCTAAGGGGGAGCAGCCCTATCTTCCGAGTTAGGAAGGAACCAGCAGAGTCTGACATGCAGACGTGTCTTTCTAATTTCAGGGCTATTTGTGAAGTCTGCTCTGCCTCAGAGACTCCCTGAGTGGCCCCTTTTCTGAGAGGATGTGCTATCTCTGCAGTGTAGGTATTAATTGATATGCAGGGTGTGTCTGCTATAGGAGAGCCTGTCAGCTGCTTTCACATTGACCCATTTATTTTTCTTTTCCCTCTTTGGGCAGGTTAATAAAACAGAGAAAGAAATAGCACAAGAAAAATGCAATTTGGAAACGGAATTAGCTAAAAGCAAGGTATTCCATGTTTGATTTATTTCACTCTATTTCATTTCTATCACTGCCTTCTGTACCACCTTATCTTAATGAGGAGATGGGTTATTTTGTTGAATACCAAAACATGGGGGAATAGAGAAGCCACAAAGCCAGATGCAACTGAGAACACTCTAGTTTCTGCAGCATGAGGCTGCTTCTGGGGAATGTTGGCTTGAGGAGAACCCTTTTCTGGGTTCTCAAAAGACAGAATGGCCAGAGAAACAAATACAGTTCTTATTAAAATCAAATTTAAAAAAAAANCAAAAGGACAGCAACTTGTCTGTTCCCCTTCCCCAATTCCCCAGCACTGTTCCCATCCCCCCAATAAAAATCTTTAAAAAAAAAAAGAGATTTAATTTTCACTGTATATCCTTTTATACTTTTTTCCTGCCATGTGCATATATTTCCTATTTTTAAAAATTAATAAATCACAGTATTTTAGAAGAAAAATATTTTTATTAAAGAATTAAGAGCAAAAGATACTTTCATAAAAAATTGCAAAGAGACTATCTTTCTTGGTACAGAAACAACAGAGAATATCGTAGTAGTAATACCAACTGATATTTATTTAATGTTTCTAATTTTTTCCAAAGTCCTCTCAAGCCTAATGCTTCATTGTATTCTAACAATATTTCAGTGATGTTTGTAGGTGGGGAATTATTACTCTGTCTTGAAAGATAAGAAAACCAAGGCTATTTAAATCACATAATGTACAACTTGTTCCACTCGACCAAAGCCATCAAGGTTTGTCTGAGATGGCAGTTATGTAAGTAGATATGTCGGAGTCTAACACAGCTTCTTTCTTGAGTCAGCCATCAGACAAGAAGGGACATATTGATCAGGGAATAATGCACATTTTACAGGCAAAGCAAAAGCACAGTTAACAGGACTTTTGGAAAAGCAGTCATCAATTCAGAGTTGTATAAATTAAGGTGTGTAATATATCATGTACTTTAGAATCTTGTTACTAAACATGTGGTCCTCAACCCAGCAGCATCTTAAACTCTACCCCAGACCTCTTGGATCTAAATCTGCTTCTCTAACTTTAATTACTTTCACGTGCATATATATCACCTGGTGATCTCTAAAAATGCAGGTTTGATTCAATACATTTGGGTTGGTTCTGAAAGTACACATTTCTAACAAGCTCTAGACAATACCAAGGTCCACACTTTGAGAAGCAAGGCAGAACCCCAGCCTCTCTACATCTGTGTTCCCAAACAGTATGAAGCACGTACTCTTTCTCTCACGGCAAGGAAACATCTGGACATGTGCAGTCTCAATAAAGCTCAATGGGCACCTCCAGAAAGAAAAACCAGTAATATGCTCCTAGCGGCTATTTTTCTACAAGAAAGTAGCTTAAATGTTAAAATAAGAACACTTCTAACACCTGGATCAAGAACAGGTCTGTAAGATGTCCCATGGGTAGACTAATGAGAAAGCAG